GAGAGGGAGCAAGCCCCGTGTGTAACCATGGGAAAGATGTTCCAGGCAGAGGGAAGAGCCAGGTCAGAGGCCGGAGGGGGCAGTGTGCCTGGGGTGTTTAATGACTAGAGTAGCAACCTTGTAGTTGGAGAGCGGAGATAGGGGCGGGGGGGTGGGGGGTGGGGTCTGGCAGACAGCCAGATCAAGGCGGAGGGACTCGAGGGCCTGGGAAATTGGAAGCAGAGGCGTTTGGTTTTCCCACTTGGGGCCTTTGCACCAGCGGCCCCTCCTCCGGAGTGCTGCATGGTTGCCTCCCCACTACCCCCACCCTCCTGATGGCCGCTTGAATGTCACCTCCCTGATCACACCGCCCACTGCCTGTTCTCCAGGCTTTGACCGTGAGTGAGGAGGGATGCCACTGAGGTGTTCCGAGCATAAGGTGAGCATGATGTGTCCTGGTTCTGCAGGGGACTAACTGTGGCTCCCAGCAGGTCTGGCCACCCTCAACCTCAGAACGTGAACTGAAGTGGGATCAGGGTCAGCAGTCCAATAGCTGGTGTCCATGGAGAAGAAGACATAGAGACAAAGGCCACGGGAGAGCGAGGTAGAGCATGGGATGGGAGTGCAGTTCAAGGTCATCTCTGAAGCTCACAAGGTGAACATCACCTGGGCGGTCTCAACTTGCTCGTGAAGCCCCAGATATGCTGGGACTTTTCTAGTTGGCCACCAGAAGGGCATCACATAAATGCAAGAAATGCTAAGCATTTCCCACAGGAACTGGGCGAGAGCCGCCCGAGGTGAACTCTTGCTCGGAGCATCCAATAGAAGCTAACGCTGCCAACACCTGGGTTTCAGGAGACTGCCGAGCAGTGAGAGAATACACACCAGCTGCCTTCAAGCCACCTGGGTATGTTACAAGGACAGCCAGAATGCTCCTTGGAAGCAAAGATGGCTAGACTTCGTCACATGTCCTTTGGACACGTGATCAGGAGGGACCAGTCCCTGGAGAAGGCTGTTGTATTTGATAGAGGGGAAGGGAAGCAAAAAAAAGAGGAAGACCCTTATGGAGATGGATGGACACAGTGGCTGCAGCAATGGGTTAAAACATGGCACCCTTATGAGGATGGTGCAGGACTGGGCGGTGTTTCACGCTGTGGTTCATGGGGTGGCTGTGAGCCAGAACCAGAACGTGTGGCACAGACAGGCAGCTGCACCAGGGTCCTTGGGCTTGTGTGTGTATGTGTGTGTGGGCATGTAGTATATGTGTGTGTAGTGTTGTGTGTGGTGTGTATGTGTGTGTGGTGTGGTGTGTATGTGCATGTGTGTTTGTGTATATGTATGTGTGTATGTGTATATATGTGTATGTACATGTGTGTATGTGTGAGTGTGTGTGTTTGCTCTGTGTCCCCACTGCTGTGATTGCTCTCAGAGCAGGACCCTGAAAATGCTTGTTTGGGGTGGACTTTGCACACCTGAGCTTTCTCTTGGGGAGGTGCTGGGGAGCAGTGGGGTGTCTGTGTCCACAGGATCCCCACAGCTGGAGGCATGAATGAGCCTTCGCACCTCAAGGTCTTTGCACTGCCTGGTCCCTCCCCTGCCACGCTACTGCCCCCAGTGCCCTCCATGGCTGACTGCTCCCATCCTCTTGGTATCTCTTTAAACCTCACCTCCTGGGCTGGGGCGGTCCTTCCGTCTCTCTTTCACAGTGGCCCTGGCAGGGCAGGGGCTTGCTGGGAATTGGTCCCTGTAGCAGCGCAGCAGCAGGGGCTGGTGGTGGCTGCCCCCCCCCCATCCCCCTCCTGTCCTGGAGACTTGTGCTTGGCCCCTCGGAGGACACAGTGGTGCTGGGACAGAACCCGATCTGGGTGAGGGGACAGAGCCTGCATTCTGCACAGTCAGCGGCAGATGGAGTTTCATTTAAAATGGGACCCTTTGTCATCATAGCTTTGTTATGTTTGAGTTTTTTAAAACATTGGATCAATGATAATTTATCTTGAGGACTGAGGATTCTGGCACCTCCTCCTAGCGACCACAACCCCCCACCCCCCGGCTCAGAAGGGAGGCCTGGGAATCTGTACTGTGAAGCCGCTGGCCTCCCTCCCTCCCACCTTGACCCCGAGTCTGGCCGAAGCACCGAGCCTGGTCAGAGATGGCAGCTAAACCCGCTCCAAGGACAGCCACAATCCACTGGACATCTGCCTGCTC